ACTCTCGGCAGGTGGCACATGCTCTGAGAGGCTCGTTTAAGCGGAGGCAATACTAGGATATCCCTCTGCTTCTGAAGGAGGGGCTGCACAAGGAAGCCCTCGTTACCTTGAGTGGTCAGAGCTCTTCTGTCTGCTGTTTACAAGTCCTGATGAGCCTCTGAGCTCTAAAAGCAAAAGAGCTGTTGGTTAGATGCAGCATCCATAAACACCTGGTGTTTCCTAATCACAGCAAGGGTATTTTTGAGGCAGGTGGCAATCTGATTGCAACGATTAAAGTCTCTTTTTCTTTCTTTTTTGAGAAATTTTGCAGGTGATTTAAGTAAATGTTAAAGACAACTGTTCAGAATGCAATGCAAGGTGACTGTTTAGTGAATCAGGAAAATTAATTCTATAATCCTATCACAATAGTTTATTAGTTCTTAAGTACTTTCAGGTTTTGTTTTTTGAGGACGAGAGGAAAGCGACTTTGAGGGTCTACTCACAACTTCAAAGTGCTAGTCTCTTTATTTTGTAGATAAGGAAACAGACCTTCAGGTCTTAGAACCCTGCTGAACCACTGCAAGGTCACACGGTGAAGAAAGGTGGAGCTGAGGCTGGAGCCTAGACTAGTCTGGCCCCAAAGCCTGTGTTCTTCCCACTACAGCACAATGCCAACCTCTATGGGATCTCGTTTAATAAATATTAAGCTAGAAGACAGAACAAAAGAGTATGAGGCAGGAGCACAGAAAAAGTCAAAGGGCAAGTTTCTAAAAACTGCCACAAATCACAAAGATAGAGTGCCTATTTATACCTGGTTCCATTAGAAAGGAGCACAGAAAAAGAGAAAGCTCAGGCTGGTCATTACCTCCTCTGCTCTGATCAGGGACTGAAAAAACTTCTGGTACGGTAACTGGTAAATCCACTCCTGGGGAACCATGATGCTGTGCATACGGAGGACTCCTTTCAGAAAGACACAATATTGAAAGTAAGTTGAAAAGGCGCCTACAGTAACGGTGGAGAAACAGTAAACAGAGCACAGCAGTGCCAAATTCTCTACAGAAGCTTCACATTTCTGATCCAGATCACATGTCTGAATTTAGGGATCAGGTGAGAAGGGCTCATTCTTCTTCTGGTTTTCCTCTTCAGCCACAGTCAAGCTAGAAAGACTGGCTTCAGTCTGGTCACTTCCCCCTGTATCAAGTGGTGCTGATAAAAGAAAATATCTAGCTCCCTGGGAGAATGCTTTAAATTATAGACAAGGCTCCACCATTTTCCGTACTGTGAGAGACCAGTGATACAGACAGAACCAGTAGAGAAAAATAGTAACTTCTATCTGGGTTTTGTAGTATATTTGTTTCCATAACAGATTAAACTTCTTATTCTACTTTGTTTGGATTAGTATGAGAATGAGTTTTTGCTGCCTTTGCCCATGAGTCAACAGAACAGGGAGGAAGGTCCAGGGATGTTTGTGTTTAAAAACTGGCTCTCAATGATCAAAACATAAGTAGATAGATTATACTCAGGTAATTAAGGTTAACTGAAACAAGTATTTCTTTAAATCCAGAATACACAAATACTGGGAAGTATAACTTTTATTCATCAGACTTTACTAGGGGAAATAGACTCTTCCCTTGCTGACAAAGAAACAGGTTTTGAGATCAGGTTGAGTCCTCTCTCTTTATTCCACCTCTGGAGAACAGCCCAGCGGAGCGGGGTGTGGATGGTACCTGGGCAGCCGTGGCGAAGGCCCTACCACCTCTGGGGTCAGGGGCACTGTGTCCAGAGTCTGTGAGGTCATAAGGATGTCATTGATGCTGTGCCCCTGTGGCTGGTTCTCCCCTCCAGGGGGTCTCTCCCCAGCCTCGACTGGTTCCTGCCCAGCCTCAACCCCAGGCTCGCATTCAGCCCCTCGCTCCAGGCCTGGCTGTGAGAGGGCAGAGCTGTACATGGAGTCCCCCAGGGGGCGGCTGGTGTCAAAGCACTCGGGCAGGATGATGATGTAATCCTCCGAAGAAGCAGAGGACTGACTCTGGACTTCATCTCTGAGTTCCTCCTCCTCCTCCATGACGGCTTCTTCTTCAACAATACGGACAATCTCTTCCCTCCCATCTCCAAGTGGTCCCCCTTCGGGTGGGGCAAATTTCACTAAAGGATGAAAGCAACCAACTTTAAGGTATAAGCTAAAAGCAGCCCCTGTGCTACCCTTACCCCACCAAGCCTTGTAGGTCATGAGCTGTAATTATGAAACCCAGAGGACAGGGACAAACCAGAGGGAAGGGCTGCTGAAACCACAGTCATGGCCATATTCTAAACCTACGCCAAGACACATAGAACCAAAGTTCACAAAAACAACATTGGCAGAAACATCGAGGCTTCTGAGAACACTATGAATCTTAAAACAAGGAGGCCTCATCCCTTTTCCTCTTCACGTGATGGTTAACATACTGAGACGGGTTCAAATCAAAACTGATATACTAGCTAACAGTGCTATAAGAAGAGAAAATGTTTGGTGGTAAATACTTCAGGACTGTATGACTACTTTCCTTCTCTTCTTTGCGAAGTAATGAGTAATCATGATAGAAAATTGGCAAACATGGGTGAGAAAAAAAAAAGGAAATAAAAAAGTACCTATAATCTTAACAGAGATAACTACTGTGAACATTTTGGCGTAAGTCCTTCCAGACTTTTTTGTTATGCATTTGTACACAAGTATGTGTGAGGAAATACATATATTTTAAAAAATATACAGTTTAAATAGAGGTATATAAATGAAAAAGTGAGATAAATCATGCTTAAAGGTATAGGTCAAATTTCACTATAATAAACACAAGACATTTTTTCACATTATTTTGATGGAGTAGAATTTGAGTTTTTGGATAGTACTTGAAATACATGACAGTGGTTCTACCTATCTGACATCTAAAAATTTCTGCCACAAAGAAATTTATTACAGCAGAATTTAATCTTGAGAAACTTAGTCTGGTGCTCCTGTTTCTGCTCACTATTTCCTGACTGCTGCCCTTGGACAAAGGAGACAACTCAGCTGCCAGTGGGGGTCTCTGCTGAGGGGCTCTGTCAACTTACAAGAAGACTCCTTACTGCAGAATCCAGGCAGCACAACTGGCTGCTGTTCCTCTGTGGTGTGCAGCTGAAATTCTGCCCCTGAAGAAGTACAGAAATGAGTTACGGTAGCTGCTTTGCTGCTGATGCTATAAATAAAATGGTCAGGTAGCATATGCAGAGCCCAAAGAAACAACCATGACCCGAACTCTAACACAGACCCCGCTATCTCCACTACCCTCAGTAAAGAAGAGCACTTCTATCTGCTCAGGTCTGGCAACCACAAGTCAGGCATCACCTCAGTTTTGGGGGGGGCAGTGGGGAATTCAGGGACACTCACTGTGTGTGGACTTCTGTCTGCAAGGTGGTTTGTGATCCGGGGCAGCATCCAAGGTAAGGGATCGGATTACAGTCTCACACACGAACTGGGTCCCACTCAGGTCATCTTCTGCTTCCTCCACTGAAGAAATGTTCTCAGCCCTCTTCTTTACTGACACTGTGGAATCTGAAAAAGACATGAACTTTGTCTGCAATGTGTTTAAAGTGTTGAAGATCTTTCTCCAGTCATGTACCCATGCTGATGCGATGCCAAGGAATAGCTGCTATCGGTGCCATGTGAAGGTGAGGAGACTTCAAAAAATGAGATCCTACAGAAAACCCACTCACACAGCAAGGTAAGATTAGTAGGGGGTACGTGTAACAACAGGGTGTGGTATGGAAGGGGAGGATGCAAATACTTTACAAATATTTAACCCCTTACCAGGAAGTTCTTTAAATCCCGCCCCTTCACTCTCTTCCTGTATCTGCCCCAAGCCTGGCTTCTCTATTAAAGGACTGTCATGTGGCAGAGGAGACATGCAGGGAGTCATATCTGGAGAATGAAGACAGGAGAACCATCAACCACGAAAAAGCATCACATCATCAACAGTCAGTGTCCAGAAGCAGCAGCTCATAGGCTTCTTGCCTCCTGCATGGCTAAAATAAACCCAGGTATACTTCAAGGCGTTCTAAAGAATTTCTCCAGACCATTAGGCACACAAGTATCTCAGACAGATCCATCAATGCAGGAAGGATGATAAACAGTTGTTTGGCTTTGGGAGACCATGGCCAAGACAAAGAGCCATGAATGCAAAGGAACGAAGGGACACAAATATCCAGAGAAAAATGGAGAAGAGGGTCCCTTTATGGTGGGGAAACTTCGCACAAACTGGTATTGTTGCCTCTGACAACAGGGAGAGGAAGGAAAATGAACCAATGGGTGCAGTTTTAATGTCACACTGTGGGAGAAATCCTTGCCAACTATTTCCTCAGAATAAAATACTACCTACCAGAGTCAGGGCTGCAGTATTTATTTTATTTTATTTTATTTTTTTGCGGTATGCGGGCCTCTCACTGCTGTGGCCTCTCCCGTTGCGGAGCACAGGCTCCGGACGTGCAGGCTCAGCAGCCATGGCTCATGGGCCCAGCCGCTCCGCGTGCAGTATTTTGAGGCTGTTAATAAAATAAGCAAGGTGGACCGAGTGACATTCTTACCCACGGGGGTGTTGTGGGGCACTCTCTCCAACTCTTGGACAATATTTATATCCAACAGCTCAAAGGACAGCAGGTCCTGAAAAAAAAAGGCACAAGGTTAGGCTATTCGCAGCACACGCTAGAGCCATGTTTTGTCTTGATGGGTCCTGCAGGCCATTGAGTTCTGTATCATCCCAGATTCAACGCTGTTCAAATTCATGCCTCCCATCAGTCAAGTGAAAAGAAGAAGAGTTAAATGGGAAGTAGGCATTCAAATAACCAAATGGCAGCAAAGAGAGCAAATGCAGTGGGGGTGAAGGTGAACCAGTTAGGCAGAAAAGAAGAGGCAACTAGAGGGAAGTTGTGGGAAGCACAAGATAAGTTCCCAATTCAAAGACGAAACATTTACTTTAGCAGCCTGCTCCCACTGGTGATGATTTTGCCATTCAGTACATCTGACTAGATCAGAGTGGGCATATCTCTAACTTCCTGAACACCACCTATGGCTCTACCACCTTTTCTTCAACAAGTTAAGAACTCTTTCCCCAGGGCTTTCTGTCCCTCGCCCCTCAAAGTGCTCAGTCTTCCACCTGGGCAGTCAGAAGGTCCACAGATGGGATGTAGAGCTCCCTCTCGCTGGCAGCATTTTTGGCCTTCTGTGGGATGCAGGTTCCTGTCCCTTCTGTTTGCTCAGTTGTTTCACCAGGTGGAATTTCTTCTTTAGCCGGAAGAAGAGCTTCCTATGGAGAGAAACCATTGGGACACATTTTAAGCCCTCAACAGAACTCAAAAGGCAAACTGACAGCTGCCTCCCTAAAAACAAAAGCACTGCATGTATTAAAACTTTTTGTTTTGTTATAATTTTAGACTTATAGAAAACTTACAAGAACAGTACAGAGTTACTAATTACCCCCTTCACCTAGCTTCCCCTAATGACAATAGCTTAGATTAACCATAAAAACAACAGTCAAAACCAGGACATTAACACTGGGTAACTAAATTTAAGTAGTAAACAGGGAAGCTGCCTTAAAAAACTGTGCACCAAGTAACAACCAGGGTTAGACTTCATTAGTATTTAGGAAACATAAACAAGGGATATACAGGAGAGATGACTGTTAGGCAGCAAAGGCATCAGCTCAGCAGGCCCACAGGCCAGGCAGCTCTGCTTTCCCTTGTGCAGCACAGAGGCTGGCCACACATCACTACAGAGAGATACGAAAGCACTGAGGGATGCCTGCACCAAGATGCGAAGGACATGCAAACAAAGCCCCTGAGGACTAGTCCCAATATAAGCATACGCTGTGTTCGAAGGAGGCGAGAAGCTGGCTTCTCCAGACTTCTGGAAGAACCACCAGCTGTGAGTGGGCTCTTTTGGTTTTAGTCACCCTTCCAATGCTCACCTCTTGCTGGCAGGTGAGATCATCACCTTTGCTTGAGCTGATCATGCTCTTTTCAATGTTATCAGAGCTCTCTGTGGAGGGGAAAGGATCCACTATGATACTGCACCAGACCCGAGGCCCAAACTGCTGGCCTTTGTGAGAAAGACGCCAATGGGAAGTGTATGTTCCCTCCAGGGTTGGGGCAATGAACTCCACAGACACAACTCCCACATGGCCGGCCTTTAGGCAGGGAACCAAAACATCCTTCTTTTCTGTAGAAGCCAAAGTCAGGTTTCCCCACATGAACTTGAGCTGAAAAGAATAGTGACAAGAGAAAGAAAGCCTGTCAGTTACATACTCTGCCACCTCAAATCACTTCGTCTTCACGCTTTGTGGGGAAAAATACCTTCGTGTCTGTACTCCACTTTACATTTCCTGTATTTTTCATCCTCCAGTGTTTGATAAACTTGGTTCCTGGCTGGAGGTGAGTCCCATCAGGCAAATTCTCATCCACAAATGCTGCACTGAGGGTTGGCATAACTGAGGCACAGGGCTGCAAAGGGAGCCTGAACAGAAATTCAAATATTTAGTCACTTGCTGCTGGGTGTGATGTCTTCTGAATACCCAGTACTGTGGTTTGAGATGCAGACAGTGACCCTGGAGGATGTACCAATGCATTTGCCTTAAAAATAATACTAACAATGGGAATCCCCTGGCAGTCCAGGGGTTAGGACTCCGTGCTTGCACTGCAGGGGGTGCGGGTTCAATCCCTGGTTGGGGAACTAAGATCCCGTACGCCCAAAACAACCCCAAAAAACAACCTCAAAAACAAAAATAAAACCTAAGGGGACCTAAGCTCCTAAGCTAAAAAACTATGGTGAGGATAACTAAAAGGGTCCATAAATTAACTAAAGAGTTGGGCTCTTAAAATATTTGCTTCTTTTGCTTCAAATCCAGACTGCCTCCAGTGAAGAGAGGTCACACCAGCCAGTTTCTGAACCTTACTGGTTTCTATTTTTCCAAAGAAGGCAACAAAGCAAGTGTCAAAGATAACTACCAAACCACCCTTTAAGAACACTAGGATCGGAAAATGGGAAGTTTTAAGGGTTTGGGTGTTATGGGTTACCAATAAATAAGACAGAAGTTGGCTTAAGTTCCAGTTTTAGAGGGCTGGACCTAAAGTCCTGGCTCCCGCCCTGGCCCTGGGCTTACATTGGGGTGTTAGACTGCAGCAGGCTCTCGGGTCGGCCCAAAGGAGACTTGGGGCTCTGGAGCCCATGGATCGAATTCCACAGATGAATCTTCCTGTGGAGTTTAAGCTGCTTTTTAAGTTCCTTGACCTCTGCTTTACGCTGTTTCTTCTCAGCTCGCAACCTTTGCTTTTCTGCTTTAAGAAAGTTCTTGTCAACCTGTTTCTGGAGCCTGTGAGATAAAAAACACAGTCTTAAAAAACAAATCTCACACACAAATCTTGAAGCTATTCAGGAACTTCCCTGGTGGTCCAGTGGGTAAGACTCTGTGCGCCCTATGCAGGGGCTCGGGTTCAATCCCTGGTTGCGTATGCATGCTGCAAAAAAAAAAAAAAGAAAAAAAAATCCCCCACGCCACAGTGAAGATCCTGAGTGCCACAACTAAGACCCGGTGCAGCCTAAATACATAAATGAAGAAATATTTTTAAAATCTTGAAGCTATTTTGAGCTACTTGTGGTCTCCATCAGCGTCAGCTTCTAGGTTAGTTTCTTAATTTCTTTCTATAGTTCTCATTTCCATCACATTAGCATTGGAGGATAATTATCCCTGTCATTGCACATCAACTGGAAAGGAGTGGGAACTAAGGAGACTATTTGCTATTTTTTGTTTTGTTTTTGGCTGCGCCATGCGGCATGTGGGGCCTTAGTTGCTCGACCGGGGATCGAACCCGTGCCCCCTGCTGTGGAAGCGTGGTGTTCTAACCACTGGACTGCCAGGGAATTCCCAGGAGACTATTTGTAGTTTTGTGATTCACACCCTGTCACCAAAACCAAGAAACCAAAAAGAGAACAAGCATCCCATGCACATATGGTTTTACCTGGCCTGTTCCAGAGCAGCAGGAAGACGAGGAGTAGAGAACCTCGAGTGAGAGAAGGGTTCAGAGGAACCCACAACAGGTCTCCGCAACTTCAGCAGG